TATTATTAACTGTCAACATTTAATATTTTTTTTTAAATGTCTAGAGAGAAAGAAGCTCAACAGGCCCCCATTTAAAGTCTTGATTAGTAAAGGTTTTTGACTTTTGATTAATGTGGACATGTATATAGTTTGTATACGGAGTTGATATGAGGCACTGTATCTATAAATTTATATCTATCAATTCTATACGATAGACGACAATGCATGTACAATGTATGTTTAATATCGAACGATGTTCATTGATATTTGATACTACTTTAAAATATTAACTTCATAAGCTAATTTGTTTAAAACTTATTTTTACACATTTTAATGGAAATGATGTGGTCAGCTAATTATAACTCAACAAGGATGAGTATCAGGAATAGTATCTGAAGTCGTCATTTTAAAAATAAATAAAATCTAAAGACTCTAAATCTTAAATATTGGAGTTAATTCATATTTTTTTTGGTTTTCTTAAAAGCAATACTGGAAAATTAAAAAAAAAAAAAAATGTTGCTCATACATCACAATAAAATCATTAATTTTCTTGGTAGGAATTGTTTATATCATCTTAAAACGCTAATAAAAGTTTTATTTTCTGGTTAGTACTACACATTATACATGAAAAAAATCGATTACAATACGATTTGGTCAACTACTATAATATTATATCGTTATTATTTATTCTATAATAGCCAATGTCAAGGGGGCCGTGAACGTTAGTTAACATATGTGATAATAAATTAAACGGACGACAGTAAAAAATCTTTACGAGCATACTTCAACAGAGCTAGCATGCGTTATAATATAACGTATGTTATTATAATGTTACAAAATCTTAATATTAAAATGAATATTGAATAATGATATTATAATTATTTAAATAATTAAATTCAAACAGTAATATTAAAATCATTTTTATCACTAGTTGCGGTGGTACATATTTTATAATATACTATATACTACTACAGCGATACCGACGCACGGCGGAGACAATATACTAATAAATAACATTAAATTATTCGATTGTTTTATACACTAAGAAGTTGGCATTTGTTTTTTAGAAAATAGTTTCGAACAGAATTTTTTTAAATCATTATTATTTTTTTTTCTTCCCTTTCGTTTCGAGTCGTCCAGACATGACCGAAATAATCGCCGTTCCATCTTGTCGGGCGCCTGCTGGTGCAGTAAAAATGCAGTTGAGCATTATTGCTGCAAAGAAACAATAATATTATTATATACAAGAAGAAAGAAAACAAAAAACTACTTGTGCGTTAAATTTTTTTTTCTTTTTCTCTGAAAAAACCGACCCGAGACAACACGTCATTAGTCAATCTATTATTAATGCACATCGAAACTTGTTCTCCGTAAGAGCCTTTTGCTTATAACTGAGCCGAGGCACTGGCGTAAACACACGCACACATAATATGCACGTTCGGCTTACAACTTCCATAGAGTGTGTGCACGTGATCCCAATATAGGAATTCTTTCTCCCTTTTGGGTTGAAGGTACTCATATGACGTATGTGCGTAGTGTATTGCCTGTGGTTTGAGGGGGATAAAATAAAATCTATATCAAACGATGGTCATTAGAAAATAAAAACCAAACAATTACAAATTACAAACACACAAACAAAAAACATTTGTACAACATCGTATTCGATCTATTGCAGCGCCAGATATACTACCTATATAAATATAATAATAATAATAATGATAAATTATATTATTAAAACCTGAGCGCGTGTTAAAAATTACTCACTCTTGAGAAATGATCGTGGTACTTACGTCTTACATAATATACATAATAGAGAGTACACACATACTGAGTAGACACAGAAAAAAACGACTATCGACTATCATTCGACATAATAAACATTGTGCAGTGCGCATTATTTATAATGTATAATATTATTATCGTACTAACTTGATATTACTATTATAATATTTTATATGCATTCCATAAGGACAAAAAATAACTGTTTAATATGTAATAGTATTGATTGTCGAATGTCGGTGTACCGATTTTACTTGTATAATATAACGTAATTAGGTTAATACGTAAATAATAATACATCCATCATTAATTTAGCCTCCGTTACAAAGAGTACTAGGGTGACAAAAAAAGATTTGAATTGGATAGCTAGATAGCTGAATAAGCTGCATTGATGGTTTCTATAATATTATACATTTTTATTAAACAGAATTCACCAAACTCCTACATTTTTATTTAATAATTTAATTATTCAAATTATGATTTTAAGAATTTTTAAGTATACAAGCATTATATATATTTTTAAATACATAGATATGTTTTATCATCTATGAAGTATCCTGTCAGTAGTGACAAAATGTATTTGTTTCAAATAAAAACCATAATTTTTAATATAAATTATTAAATAGAAAACTGTTTTAAAAATGTTGATTTTAAATTAAAAATCAAACGAATGATTTTTTAGTTACTTAAATTTTTTTTTTAAATAAGTTCATGATAATAAGTTAAGAATATATTTGGAATTATAATTTTAAGACTATACAATTTATAATTATAATTACATTATCAATTAACATTTTATAATTTCTAAAAATTGTTTGAATATAAAATATATAATATATTTTTAAATTTTGTAAAATTTTTTTTAGACTATCATTAACATAACATATTTATTTCGATAACTAAAAATCTACTTTTAATATTGAGATAGAAATAATAAAATTTTTCAAAAAAAGCATCTTAAAAATGTATGATAAAATAAAAAAATCTTGATTCTCATTCATAAAATGAATACAAATACAAATACTTTGTATTGCAACAATTCACGTTTTACATAATATAGTAAATCTAAGTATTTTAAAATAATATTATGATCCTCAATTCAATATATATCAAAATTTCAAAAATCAGGATTTACAAAACTTCTGTATTAAAGGAAATGATGGTGAGAATAATTGGTAAACCACCATCCATAATAGAACTGAATTTAGTTAATGCATGTATATTACAGTATGTCAAAAACGTTATGTGAATGCGCAAAATAATTTACTATTGTAGATTCATAGTCTTTTTTATGTTATTTTCATAGCCTACGACCAGATTTGAATAAAATTCATCGCAATTTTCGGGGAAATTATAATAGAATGCTCCAAAAATGTCTCTCTTCAAATATCCCCTATATAAAAAATTCAAAGTGGGAATGTGACATTTTAAAATGACCCTTAATTATAGTTTTAAACACATGTACACATAATTGTAGAAAGACCAACTTATTTATCACCTGGCTTAAAATTTAATTTTATATCAACCAAATTATTTTTAAGAAAATACACAATCCAATTACTATATAAAGTCTAGTAATTATCATTAAACCACGTTATTTAATAGTTACGGTATTCGTTATAAATAATTACAATAATATGTTTTGACAATAACTACTGACATAAACTAAAATCCGTTGACCCATCTACAGCACTTAAAAACAAACAATATATACTTAGTATTATGTTTGTTATATTATACATTTTATCATTAATTTATGATTGTTTCAATGCAGTATGCGCACATACAATTTATAATTACAAAATGCGATTTTTGTTATATGCATATATTATATAGTACATACATTTATATTATATTAATATTATGGTATTTATGTGTAGTCAGTTATATTATTAGATACAATATAATTAATATAATATATTATATTAAATGATTCGTCAATAAGAAACAATTAACTTAACTAATAAAATGACAAAAAAAAAGAAAAAAAAGAAAAAGCGTATATTTATTGAACGATTACAATGAATGCATAATACTATTTTAAGAAACGTATATAAATCTTCAATTAATATTGTACTTGCATATTTTGAAAACTTAAGTATTTAGTTTAAATGTTGCATTCTTTGTGTTGTTTATTTTGTTATTGAATTGTTTATTAGCAAATTAACAATCGTGTGCAACATGTATGTAATTACATGATAATAACAGCTAGCTTGATTAATAGTTAAATAGATGACGGCATTCTATAAACTGCATTATGCATTTTTATAATAATTAAACACACTTGTCAGTACAATAATAATAACTGCGTCGCCAATTCATATGATTGTTATTATTCGTGGATCTTTTTAATTTGATTAAAATGCATTAAAGTGTATTTCTGTTGTTTACATTTAAATTATATCGTCTAGACTGCATCGTCGTATAATTTGTCTCTGCAACATTAATCAATGATTATTATTTATTAGTATAAGTATAATATATAATATTAACAATTGGAACTATATAATAACTCTGCACTGTCTAATTAAGAGTAGATAAAATAGACATATTAGTGATTCTTTGATAAAATGTATTGAAGAAATATATTTTTTTCTTTTCATTGCTGGCATTAATTTTACGACCGTTAGACCATTGGACATGAATTCAAAGAAATGTTTAATGAATAATTTATTTTAAATTATTATTCATATTTTTTTTTTTAATAATCCTCAAAAATTTATGTGGTGGTAGTACTTACGTAATTTTAAAGTTATTAATGGAAGTAAAACAATACAAATCCTAAACTAACTTGTCACTAACAGTATAGAGTAATTGTTTTCGTAATACAATGTTGACGATGGAGTACACAAAAAAATATAATTTAATGTGATAGGTATAAATTAGTAATTAAAAATTATACATACACCACGTATATATGTGGGTTTTATGTCAATAACAAGTAAAACAACGACGCAAAATTATAAAGCATAATATTATGGTGGGAAACCAAAATACACAGTATCTATACCAAATATTATAATTAAATTATTGTTTATAAGTCACGATGAGGTTAAAAATTAATATTATGGCACGGATGTTATTAATAACTAAAATATAAAGAAAATAAAAAAATTCAAAAACAACATAAGGGTATTTGAGAGAAATATGTAGTATAAAATATATAATATTACGTAGCATGTAACTAGTAAATAATAAATATTAATGAGCACAGAACATGGAACGTAAAATACGCAATTATAATGGCTGACAGTAAGTACCTAATTTGATCGGTTTAGAGATAAATATCCATTTCATATAATTACTGTGTATCATAATATGATGATGATTATTTTTCTAAGGGTATTCTATTATATTTTGTATAATTTTTGAAAAATTTTTTGACAACCTAAAATAATTACAAAAAAAAATAGGAGTATATGCACATTGAATTAATAAAAAACAAAATATCTGTACTTTAACAGTGTTATCAACAAAATATAATAATATTATTTAAAACTGAATTAATTTTGTGAATATATGCTATACTTGCAATTTTAAGTATATAATTAAAAACATTTTCAATGATACAACATTTAATACAATTTTTGAAGTTCATGTCAATAATTATGATATTGAAAATCATATGATTTAGTGCTTCACGCTGTTTCTAAAAATGAAATAATTACAAACCAACAATTAATTGACTTCTGTCGTTGAAATAAAGGGATGATAAATCAACATTATTATTTGTATAATAAATACGAAGGAGAAGATTCTTAATGCTCTTCCGGATTTAAGATCAAATTTGGAATTGCAAAAAATAAAAGCAAACGAAATATTTATAATAGGGCGGTTAAAGAATGCTTTATAATGCGTATAGATTTATATAATAAGAATTAAGCTCTTATTTTTTATGGTTGATGCCATGAAAATAAATAAATAGTGTCTCCTGAAAAAATGTATTTATTTATTTTTTTGAATTCAAATAGATTGTATAAAATACTTATAATAATATAGTTGACTTTAGGGATACATTAACATTTTACATACATATATTATGTTTTTAAAGATATAGACAATATACATGTTCGTTTAAAATCTGTATTGAATCTTATACGAAATACTCATAATTTTAATTAAATATGTTTTATAATACATAGACTAATCATACATATAAAGTATGAAACTACTTAGTTTTTATCATCAATAGTGTGTTAAAATTAAAACATGCTGTATTTAAAATTATTAACAATTACAATATACCTAAATATAAGTATGGTATGATGAATAATTTCTAGGTAACTATTAAATTGTTTTTTATTCTAGTTTTTGGAGAAATCAGTCTGACGAAAATTAAGTATTATATACATAAAAAAATTAAATTAGACTATTATCTAAATTATCTATCCAGTTTTAATCGAAGATAACTCTAATCTAAGCCCATCTGCAATTGATATTAAATATTTAGGAAAATGGTGAATAATGAGTGGTAATTTAAATTTTTCAACATAATTGTATGTATAATTTATGATCAATATTTTAATTGTGTTTGGTGATATAAGAGTTCGTCTATATATTCTATTAACCTAATAATAAGTAGAAAATAAGAACTGAAATTTCAATAGTTATATAGATTTTAGTTGGGTTTATATTTCAGATTTTGTTCCTTAAAATATAACTGTAAGGTATAGGTTACAGTTTTGGTAAATACGGTTTTATTAATCAATTATTCCAATTACTTAATTTTTCTATAACTTGAAAAAAATACATAAAATTAGTATAACATTTAAATATTACTCTATCATACATTTAGTTCTTTTAAAAATCAAAATTTAATCTCAGTATCTTTATATAATGTTTTACATTTATTTTGGTCGTAAAAGTAAAATGTGTTTTAATATCAATTAATTAGATTAAAACAGTGTAAATTTTCATTTAACGTAAATTTCATAACAAGAAATGGCCGAAGTAAAATCAATTTATTTTGAAATATAATAGATAGGTATTTTAAAAATAAAAATAACTTAAAAAATTACAACATTTCAAACTTAAAAATCATGTCTGATTTAAAATAAAAAATGAATTCTAAGTTTCTAGCCTTCTGTATACTAATATTGGTTTTGGTTTTTGTCGATTTCGTTCCATTCCTGATTTATTGTGATTCATATCATAGATTTATCTAAATGTGTGTTTTTATAAAACAAAATTAATCAACTTTGACAAGTGTAAAATTAATTTTAAATAATTCCTAAGAAAATTAACTTGTTTTTACTTTACATATTTCGTCATATTATTATAAGTACATGTTTTATAATAATTTGATAACTTTCACAGTATTTTATAATTAAATTTTTAAATATTTAAAAATGCTCATCTTAAAATCTTTAAGACAATATTGTGAAATCTGCTGTAGCTATTAATGTATTTTAGCTAAAAACGATGTACTAATCATGTTGTATTTGAACCAGAATCAATAATTACCAAGTGGTAAACATGGAATAAGTTAAGTCAAAATTATTGCGAAAACTTTTAAAGAATAAAAAAAGTCGTATCAACATAAAGTTTGGTTCTATTTAAAAGATGAAAAATATTAAGTAAAGATGATTAAATTTATATACTTTAAAATAATTTAATAAAACATATAAAAATATAAAAATTTACTTTAGTTTAAAGTTTGGGTCTTTTAGAGGAATTCATAAAATGTAAATAATTGTAAATTAAGATGAATAATAAGGTATCTCCTAAGTCCTAATAGTAATTTTAAGAAGAAAATTAAAGTATTTTGGTATCATTTAAATGTTATTATAATATAAACATTATCTTATTTCAGTTAGTTGACTATTAAGGAATCTAACATGTATTTATCAATCTATATATTTTGTTTATAAATAGGTACTTACACATAAATCAGAGTCTTAATTTTAACTATTGGTTGAGTATATAAACGCAATATTATATTGATTTACGTATAAGCTCATATGTTGTATCGGCATAGAACACATTTAGACTAATAATCAATTGGAAGTTTATCTATTGTAAACGAAGTTACACGAGTGAATTTGTACATGTACATATATATCTGGGACACAAGACCCGATACTTATACAATAAGTTATATTATTAAGGAGCCGGAATGGAAAATATAATAATATCGAACAGCGGTAATTAATGCTTCACGTTTATTTTAACAACGTTTCGTCGTCGTAGAAATAAAACTCAATAATAGCTTATAATGTACATAATATCATATAATACTATTATACCATCATATGCAATGCCGTGTAATGCGAAGAACACGACGTCCAGCTGCGATAATAACTGTAATTATGCTTCAAATTTTTTATATTAAAATCGTAAAGCCTACAAACTAATCGATTATTATTATTATTATAGTAAAGAGGGATGATAAATATTTTTTAAAAACACTATGATGTGTTCGGCGTGTATCGTGTGCAATGTTAGAATTTATAGACAAACCAATAATTCACTAGATAATACTGTTTTCTCGTTAATTGAATATACCTACTTAAAACGCGCATATATAGACACGTTACCATATCATGTATAATATTATATGACTTGTTCTTTAAAAAAAAAAATCAATAAAACGAATACGTAACATAACATAGGTATTAGGTAGTGTAGGTACATTTATGTTAATCTTCCGCGTGACAGCCAAAATGTTGTTTGAAATCGCGAGTAAGTGAAATTAACCGTCAAAACTCGTTTTTTTACGATATACGTATTATAATAGGATTTGATGCGTTACGCATTAATATCACAAACGAATGGCCAGATACTGGTGTGTTCATGTAAAAATTTTATTTTTGTTAATGGGTGACGTGCAAACGTATTTACGTGAAACTATGAGTATGTATAAATACAATTTACCAAATAATATGAAATAAAAGTATATAATATAAAAAATTAAAGCAATATTTTAAAAATACCTTGAGAGTACTTTGTGTTTACAAATATACATTTGAAATGTATTCGGGAATGCACATGTCACTTATGAATATTTTAAAAACGATTATAAATAAAGATATATACAGCGACCGGGTGCGTATATTATTCGTAACCCACACTGCACTCTTCTTGATTTGCTCAACTCGACATGCCGGGCTAGCGTGGAATTTTCGATCATGTACAAATGGTGGCGAAGTCGACGAGAGCGATTTTAAAATAAAACGAAAATAATAATAAAAACATAGAATTTTAATATGTATGAACATTGCTTCTATATTTACCGTAAGCTCGGCGTAATCGATATACGAGATTAAAAAAAATTATAATAATATACATAATACAATATTTAGTTTATCATATTATTATTAAAATACACGTGTAATCGTATTTAAATAATACAAAAATATGGGACATCGATCGGATGGTAATCAATTATCATACATAACGAACTCGGGTTTCGGACAAAAATAATAAATCAATCGTTAAAAACGTAGGACAGACATTTAACATATATTATAATATTATTATGCTATTAGCGTGATACATAATATATAATGTAAATAACAAGATACGGGCGTCCTGATTTAGAAGCACAACAAAAAATATTTTAAACTCTGAAATGTACACGGCTGCAGTAGTCAAACATAATAGTATGTTGTACATCATACATTATTACTACAGATAAGATTAGAGTTTTTCCAGAAAAAAAAAATATTAGTGTCTTTTCGATTGACTAGACAAACAATAAAATTCAATGCGGGGAAACTATGACGTTGTACATGTTTATCTATATTATATTATGATTTATGTGCGTCAACATGGAATAAGTTAAATTTTATCTTACTTGTCTATCGAAAAACAAATTTCGATAAATTGAAAACTTACATACTGTCGTACGATATTTCCTTTTATGTATATTTATTTTTACAAGTTTCGATGAAAACCGTATAAAACTTGGCTAAAAAAGTGTAGATCATCTATAATCTAATTTAGTGATTTAAGGGCCCTCGTAAGTTGTGACCATAAGTTTTTAAAAACGATCGTTGCAATAATTTAAGCAGCGAGACAATGTATACTCCGATAAAAATTTCGAAAATATTTTTAATTCCACACAACAAGATGCGAATGGTCATATTTTAATTTAATTTTAAATACATTGAAAAATAGTATATTAGAAAAAATTGAAAAATGATTGACAATTATACATATATTATGTATTTTTTAAATTGATGTAGGTATTTATATAATAAAAAGCATATAATAATTATTTTTAAAAATTTTTCAACTGTTCCTTTTTAAAG